GCTTCTGTGTTCCCAGAGAGCCAAGTACCCCTTAATTCAGGAATATACCTGAAATTAAAAAGTCGCTTAATGTTAGGATTTATGGTGTATTCCCTAATTAAGGGGTATTGGGCTCTCTGGGTGTGTTCAAGCCTTTCGGGTTTGGGTTCCCTTCTTGGGTTCAAGGGCTGGGGCTGATTTTGTTTAGGGATCAGGGTTTAGGGATTAGGGTTTAAGGGTTTAGGGTTTAAGGGACTAGGGTTTAGGGATAAGGGTTTAGGGAGTAGGGTTTTGGGTTTAGGGATCAGGGCTTCGGGATAACCGGATTAAGCTTTAGGGTGGGATCCAGCAAGGGCCTGCAGGCTTTCAGGCTTCGGGAGCTTGGAGCTCAGTGTGTCTGGCCTAGGTGAACAACAAAGGCTTTCCGATCACCCGTGTCCGTTGAAGCCTTCCGAGAGTCCAATACCCCTCAATTAAGGAATATACCTCAAGTCATAATATTAAGCCCCTTATGATTTAAGGTATATTCCTTAATTAAGGCGTATTGGGCTTTCTGGGTTCGCGAAACTGCAGCATCGGCCTCTCTTGACACCTTATACCATGATTGTATGATTTACATGGCCGACGGTCTTCTTTGTCTTCTTGCCACTTTGGCTAGCAAGGTTTTTGGGGCGCATGATAATACAACTGCAGTAAGGAACATAAAGGAAGAAGATTGGAAATTATGCAGGCCCTGAGCCCTGAACCCTAAATTAAAGGAAACTATTACAGGTGGGGAGTTTAGAGTATATAGGGCTTCTTTAAGGCTTCTATAAGGTATATAGACCTTCTATAAGGTTCCTCTAACGGTAACTACCCACCTGAAAATGTCCCAGACTAAAGCCCTAAACCCCTAAACCCTAAAGGGCCCCTATATCAAATCCCTGGGCCTCAGATCCGTCCTTGAGACCTCAGACTTGCAAAGCCCTGCAGTCCCTGATGGTCATATTAGCAATAGTAACGATAGAAGTCGCAATAATGCTAACAATATTTATGATACGAATGCTAGAAGTGATAGTTTCCAGAATAGAGATAAAAGTGATGATAGGAATGGTAGCAGTAGTAACAATAAGAAGAAGGATAATAATCAGTAGCAATAACAATCATGATTATCATAGTAACGCTAGTAGTAGTACTAATACTGATGATGGAAGTAACAAATAATCAATAACACACCTCCTGCGACTGCTCCCATCGCGCCGCTCGGCTGCTTGCAGGCGCCTCCGCATTGGTCTAGGCCCAAAGTCTGGGGTCGAGGGTTTAGGGGTTTAGGGTTTGGGGGTTCAGGGTTGAGGGTTTGGGGTTCAGGGTTTGGCGGGTTAGAGAGTAGCAACGGGAAGTGTCCCCAAACACCCCTACAGAGCGGGGGCTCAGAGTTCCAGGGCTAGTTTCTCCGTCCGCTTGCGAAAACTGGCGACCATACCCTAAACCCTAAACCCTAAACCCTAAACCCTAAACCCTAAACCCTAAACCCTAAACCCTAGCACAGCTGCACGACGAGCGTTCATGCCCTCGGCATGAAACCTCTCGACTGTAGACGTAGATCCCAAGCCCTGGCTAATTTCGGGTATAATATACTATACTCTAATACGTTATTACATACTATAGTGCACTGTGATATACAACAATGTACTACAATATACTCAAATATACTGTTATTAATGTCTATAAACTTTTATATACTAGATACTGCCATGATATCATCATACACCAGCGATATACCAAAATGTACCATACCCATACTGTAATATGCTATAATACACTACAGTATATATACTACAACAAAGTAAAATGATGCATACTAGCCACAGGACCAGACAACCCGACCAAAACTCACCCAGACCCCAAACCAGATCATAAGAAGAAGCTAGGAATGGGAATCAGGAGCGCGTTTAGGGTTTAGGGTAAAGGGTTTAGGGTTTGGAGTTTCGGGTTTAGGGTTCAGGGTTTAGGGTTTAGGGTTAGCGAAAGCACCAAAAAACTTGCAACTGTTTTACTTTCAAAAAAGTGTTTTGGGAATGTTGTCAGGACGGTGGCAATGATTGGAGCGCCGATCATTCCAAAGAAACGTAGCAGCTGCAGCAGCCGCACGAGGCTTCTTGGTGTGGTCTTGTGGTTCTAAGGTTTGATGTGGTCGTGCCTCCTGCCACTCCCCTTGCCGTGCATAATCGTGGATTGCTTGGAGTGTTCATCGTCTGCCCACGTCCTGCCTGCTCCACGTCTCTGCGCCATGCCGCCAAAGAGGCCAGAGAGGTACTCTGAGACTAACAGAAGTAGGTACTTACCACAAACACACTCTTGCTCTGGTCATGCAGAACCGAAACTTGTGCAAACCCTCTCGACATGCGCCAGCTCCATTCTCTCCTGGAATTTCGAAACAATTGTCAGCAGCAAGTAGCATGACAAACCTATGTTGACACAGACTTGGACAGATTCTCAACATTTTGAGAAGCATACAGCTGTCGTCTATGCAACTACTATACCAATTCCTAAGCAAAAAGAAGCTCTCAGCCATTATATAATGAAAGCAAAAACTCAAACAACTACGAGATAGCTTCGTTCGAAAGGCGTTTTAGTGATGGCTTATCGAAGAACTTGGCTTTGCTTTGGCTTTCAATTCTTGGCACTCACCTAGCATGGTGCACCGGTGACATGCGGGCATGAAGGTTCTTCTCGGAGGAACACAAAGAAAGCAAACATATTTGCCAAAAACAAAAACACAAAGGTGAACTTGCTTCCCAAATAGACCATGGAAATAAAAGGTTAAACTTTCAGATTGCTACTCAATCATAAGATTCCAACAAGTTTAAAGGTTGCATGTAGGATCAATATCATCAACCGTTTCACGCACTCTTTTGTCGTTCGGCTTAGGGGTTACGGCTTGGAATTTTTTGGATTGAAGTTCACGGTGCGGAAGCATCTTGGCAATGTTTGTGCCCAGAGTTTTGTATGGGTAGCTGTCTAAATTAGAATTCCTTTTTAAGTTTTTTTTTTCACGGGTGCCGTATGATTTTGGACCCAAAAAAGGACTCTAATTTCGAGAACTACCCACATACTAGGCCCTCAAAAAAAATAAATAAATAATTAATTAATTCCTTCCTCTGGGTAGAGTCCAAAGGAGTGAGTGTGCGCACCTGAAGCGTTTCACGCTTATCAAGTGACTCACAAGTGACCGTTTCGGTGGGTAACTTCTAATT